TAATGTGATAGGAATGCCTGGAGGTAATGGGTTTGAGCCAGTGTGCTTGAAAATTATTCAGTATGCTTTTACTAGCCCATTTTAGGTACCTCATATAGAACTGAAAATGGCATGGCCCCAGAGAACTAGATGAAGTTGGACTTTTGTATTTCAGGAGCAGAAGCTGTGCTCTTTAAGTGAGGAAAGCAGTTACTTTCCAATTATAGCTTCTTCCTTGATTGTGATTGTGAAAAGGACTGTATTTATGGGTAGCTTTTATGGAGGGATATATTAAAGAAAGCAAGGAAGAAGGCTTCTAAGGTCTTAAATTTGCTAACTTGTGACAATAATCATGATCTCTCAGGTAATAAAGTAGGCTATCTAGCTCAGGTCCTCAGTTTAAAGTTAATATCTTCGAAAGCCAGATGATTGACTGTAATTTTGCTCATAGTGCTTTGCTGGTAGCAATAAATAAAAACATCTACAGCACTTTTCATCAGAAGTGTCAAAGTGCTTTCCAAACCTTAATCAATTGATTTTTACGAGATGGCGACCTAGTTGTTTCTCTTTCCTTACTGGAGGAAGCAGGAGGATCAGGGCAGCTACTGACAAGTATGCAGCATTTAGTGCAAAAGCAAATGCTGGTAATACCTTGGTCTAGAACTCTGGATTTCCAGAATTATTTTACAGTCAATACAGAGTACACAGACAGAGTCATAATTCCTCTTTCATAAATACATTTCAAGTGCCCTTGTGTCTTAGAAAGACAACTGACTGAGTTGATGCAGCCAAAAAGGTCTAACCTGATACTCAGGGAAAGGAAGCAGATGTATCAGATTGATTTGGCTAAACAGCTAACTCATGACTGAGCTACAATGCAAAAAGGCAGTATACCTCAGGTGGAAGGAGGAGAGGAAGGCCTCTGAAGGTGTAGTTTAGAAGCATCGCCCAGGCATGTAGAGGTGAGGTTAAAAAAGCCCAAGTTCAACCGGAGTTGACACTTGTGAGGGACGTCAAGATGCAACAGAAAGAGCTTTACCACATTACTATTAGTCCGAGGATGAGCAAGGAAAACATGGGACTGCTGCTGAATGGGGCTGGTCATTTACTGGTGGCAAACAGACAAGACTGAGGTAATCTGTGCCTTCTTTGCTAACAAGGTCTCCCAAGCAATGTTCAAGGAGGCAGAGAGTGATGAGCAGTGGGTGAGGATCGAGCCAGGGATTACTTGAGAGAACTCAGGCCAATGGAAGCCCATGGGATTGGAGCGGCTGCATCCAAAGGTGCTGTGAGAACAATCGATGTCCTTGCAAGGCTGCCCACTGTCATCTTTGAAAGATCATGGAGACTGAGGGAAGTCCTCCATCACTGGGGAAAAGCAAACGTTGCACTGATCTTCAAAAAAGGCTATGAGGATGATTTGGGGAACTACAGGCCAGATAGCCTCACTGTGATCCCTAGGAAAATCATGGAGTGAGTCCTCTGGGAACACATTTGGGGTTATAGTCTGGATGGGTGGACGACCAGATGGGTGAAAAAAATGGGTGAAAGGCTGGGATTAGAGATTACTGGTTAATGGGTAATGCTCTATCTGGAAGCCACTAACAAGTGGAGTACTGCAGGGGTCTGAACCTGCCCTGTTTAACCCCTTTATCAATGACCTTGAGGAGGCAATGGAACAAGCACACATTAAGTTTCCAAATGACACCAAAGTGTTGTGGGGGAACAGTCATCCAGAGCTGCCATCCTGAAGGACCTAGACAGCCTGGAGGAATGGAGTAACAAGGACATTATGAAATTCAACAGGACAAATGCCAAGTTCTGCACATGGCAAGGAATAGCCCCTTGCAACCATACAGCCTGGGGGCAGGCTGGCAGGGGAGCAGCTGCGCTGAAAAGGACCTGGGGGTCTTGGCAGATAGCAAACACAGCATGGGCCAGCAATGTGCCCTGGCAGCAGAGTAGGCCAACAGCATCATAAGACATCCTGGGCTATATTAACAGGAGCACGACCAGTAGATGGAGGGAAGTTCCCCTCTATTCAGCACAAGTTAGACTATATCTAGATACTGTGTCCAGTTTTGGGCCCCCAATATATGAAAGACAGGGATAACCTGGAGTGCATCAGTGGAGGGCCACCAAGATGCTCAGGGGCTGGAGTACTTGCCATGTGTGGAGAGGGTGAGGGAAAGGGGCTTGTTCAACTAGGAGAAGAGATGACTTTGGCGGGGGAGCCAAACAGCAGTCCCCAAGTACCTATAACATGGCTATCAGGAAGATGGATCCAGGCTCGTCACACTGGTGTGTGGTAGGAGGACAAGGGACAACGCACATAAGCTGAAACAAGGGAGGCTCATACTGCAACTAAGGAGAAACTTCTTCCCTGTGATGACAGTCAGGCAGTGGAGCAGAGAGCCCACAGAGGCTGTGCAGTCTCCATCCCTGGAGGTTTTCAAGACCTGGCTGGATAAAGCCCTGAGCAACCTAGTTTGAGCAGGGGATTGGATTACAGACCCGCTGAAGTCCCCTCCAGTCCGGATTATTCTGTGATTCAAATATCTACGGCTCCGGTAACTCTAGATATTTTAAACGTTCTGCTTAGCTCACCCTGCTTTGTTCACCTAAAAAAAAAAAAGAAATTCTTCAGCGAATGATTTTCACTCCTGAAAATCATTTAAATAGGTGGTGCTTTAAAGTAAAGGTGTGTGAATGCCAAATGGCATGTAACTCATGCACAGCATTTCTGAAATACCTCAGCTACCAGTAGTCTTTCCCTGGCTACGTCTGTCATGCTCACTCCAAGGAGAGCAGGCACAGTCAGCGCCCGCTTCCATAAGCAATATGGCTTTTAATCTCAGTTGACAGTGATCAGAGCTGAATGAAATCATGACTGGAACCCGCCAGCTGTTTGCTGTAGTGACATTATCTGCACATTGCAGACTCTTTCCAATTTTCAAAACAGCAGCCAGAAACTGCATATTTGCTTCCGTTATGGTGTCTCCCTGTTTCTCTGTTCGCGAGAGCGATATGAGGAGGAGTCCGTCCATAAGGAAAGGGACCGACTGTGGTGTTCCTGTGTGGTGTTCTTGTAATGTGGCCTCTGTTCTCCAAGCAGCCTACGTGCGAGGAGGAAAGTTTGATGGACGACAGGAGACTGAGGTGCTGGCACCAACTTCAGAATGACAAATGCTGGCGTAGGTAGAAGTGAAACTGGGCTGAAAGGGGGACGTGTTAAACCTATTTGACAAAACCTGGGGCAAAAACATATGCAATCAGTCCAATTTAGTCAGATTTTAATTTAGTTTGAGACGATAATTCTTTCTGGAAATCTACAATGTCCAAATTGAGCTGATGATCTTTCTTTAAACAGAGCATTTAATAAGCACCCCGCTATCTATTGTCCAACATCTGTTTTTTTCCAAGTAAAAGTGGGTAATGCAGTAAGAATGATTGCCGTGGAAAAATGGGGACAATGCCTAGCCTTTAAAGATATTTAGATGTCTATTGATTTCAATAGGACTTAAACACTCAGAACTTTTAAAAACTAGCTTGTCGCGACGCAAATGAGACATTAATTTGGCCGTTCTCTCAGGAACAGAGAACTGTCAATATACTGAGAGCTTCATAAACAACGGAATCAGCCAAGCACCCGGCGTCGTAAATAAGATAATTGCCAGTACAGTTGTCCTTTTTTTTTTTGCAGATGATGAAACAGAAAGCGGATCAGTAATTCTCTCAACAATACCAGTCTAAATCAAAAGTAATGCAACTAATTTCAGCTAATATAATTAGGGAGTACAGCTTTATCTCAGAGAGGTTAGTGACTTTCCACAGGATGTGCAGGAGTCAGCTTCGTAGCTAGCATTTGAATCTTCCCATTTCTATTCTTGGATGACTGGACCATTTCTCTCTTTCACTACACAGCTATTATCATAAGTGCAAATAGTTACTTTTCTTTCTCTTCTGATTCTTATAAACACTTCCGAGTGTTGAGAAATGGCTACAGACTTGAAATGACTATAGCTTTAAGGAAATACTGCAGCACATAGAGATAAGTGGTGTATCTGTATAGTTAGAAAAAGGAACTCTTTCCCATGTGTGTATAAAGTGACACAGTTTAGTTTGCAGCTACTTAAATAGCAACGGCCCCTCACTTGTTTTCACTTTGAATCAGGAATACAAGGCACAGGCACGCTTTACTTCTCATTGATGCTGTGACGTTTTTTCCATTAAAGTCAGAATAAGAATCTTAGGAATGAGGTTCTTATTTTCATTGTCGAGTCATTTGCGCTTTGGAAAGTATGAATGAGACAAAGCTTTCTATTTTATTTGGGTTTTCTCACAGTTTTCCTGACATGATTGCCACATTTTTGCTCTTATGTTTTGGGTGACCTGTGCATCTGATGCCTGGAGAAAATTAACCCTTGGAAAGCTGTGTAGAAACTGCAGAGTCCATACCCGGAGACAGTTCCTGAGACAGTACCTGCATTTATCCCATGGGCTGAACAATTTTTCCTGGGATTAGAGGTCTCAGCTTCTGATTTCCTCTCACACATGTGCATACTTCTCTAAGAGCAAGATATTTCTGTGGTAATAGCTGCAAGTTATCTAGGTTTCTGATCCAGCTAGTGATTCTTTTGCGTAAACCACAATTCTGAAGGGAAAATAAACGGTAATTGCTCATACCTAAAGCGTAGGGTTTAGGAGTTTTTTTTGTTGTTGTCAGAAATCATTTTAGCCCTAAGAAAATATAACTTCTTGAGAAACACTTTTCATCTACTATTTTTCAATCACTGAAGTATACAAGTATATTTGAAAAGCAAAGTGCTTATGATTGTATCTGCTTTTCTAAGTTTAACTGTAATCAAGCAGACTAAGAACAGAGTGCACAAGTCATTTTATCTACATTATTGTGGAGAATCTCTCAGGACCCAGGAGTGCTTCTGATCTAGTTAAACTCCTGTTATTTTGAAAATGATTATTAAAAAGCCATCAATACTGCTCTGAGCCCACATACTCACTTGTTGCCCGGTAACCAGAAGGATAGAGCCTTCTTTTCCGTGTACCACTTGCCGGTAAATGTGATCTAGAATTAAGAGTTCACTCCAGCAGTTCTGAAGCAACTTCATTTGGTCATCAACCTGTAAAGCAAGCATGAACGTTGGTGACATTACTGTGGGAGCAGTTCTCACATCACGCGACAGAGCCACCGACCAGAACCGGCTACCACGCCTCCGTCTTTGAGTGGCTGGTTAATGTTATGAGAACAGAAATACTGTTGAAAAGTCTTTGTTCACAAAATTGCTATTCTCAGCTAAATAAAGAGGCCCCTGCCAAAACCATTATCCATAAAATGCACAGAATATTTACAACTGATTGCATTCTAGGAAAGCAGAATTACAGCATTGTTATGCAAAGTAATAGTAACAGATTATATAAGACATTTATGAAATGCTCATGGAATGGGGTATTATTTTTATCCAGAAATAATAATAGCAGAAACAATGCTAATGTGAAGATCTTCATATTCCCCATCCTTGGACCTTAGCTTCCAGAAATAGTGAAGGATCTGCAAATTTCAGCAGCACTGCTGCTGCAACAGGGCCAAATCAGAGGGAGTTCCCTTGCAAAGCAATAAAGTGAAGAAACAGGTAAACACTCTAATAATGGCTCTGGCACTCTGAAAAAGGAAGAAAACTTCTTCATAAGCAGAAGCTGTTTAGCTTCAGATGTCACAGGTAGGGGAAGAAAGTGATACGCATGAGGCAGTGAGAAACCTGCATAGATAGCAATTGCTGAACAGGTTCAAAATGTTTGTAACCTAGGAGATATAAAAAAGAAACTAAAAAAGAAAATATTTAAAGTGAAGACTTGCCTAAAATTTCAGAGAGAAAGAACTACCAAAATAGCCGTTCAGGGGTTCTAATTTCGATCAGTCTGGAAGCAGACTTGGCAATGCGCAGGAAACCACATTATAGAGAGCAATCTTGCATGAGCTGAATTAGATGGTGCAATAGGTCTTTTCATATGTTATCATCTATGATTTAATGAATTTTTGAGCTTTATCTTTGCAAGTGTGTCTTCTGGTTGTGTGATGTGCTTACATAGAGAAAGCAGTAACATTTGCTACTGATAGATTTTTTTAGTGCCGTCTACGAAAGTCACCTAGTATTTCCTACTTGTTTTGAGTCACTTGATGTATGGCTGAAATTTTAACAGCTTAAACATCTAAGTCTCTGTTTACGTTCCTTATTAGTCCTAACTTCCCTTCTCTCTGCCCACAGTCCCTCTCCCAGCTGTTCTTGTCCCAGTTTTTGCCCCTTCAAAATCTGCCTAAATTATTTCCCTTCTTTGGACTGTATAAGGGAATGAAACGAGGAAAGAAAGAGTAGAGAAAGTGAGCAGATTAGCACAAAGCCAATGGGGAGAAAAGGGCAGAAGAACCTGTGTACGGCTGAGCATGTTCCCCTCCACAAGCCTGGATTAGCACCCAAGACTCTTGCTTTCTTGCTGCTCCACAAGTGCAGCAGTTACCTCTTCTGGTAAACCGCATGTCTTGTCCTCGCCACTACTGGCCTACCTAGAGGATGATATCATTTGCCACTTTTGTTTAGTTTGCTCTTAAAAAAGGGGCGGGGAATTATATCTGAATACCTATACCAAAAGAACATTTTAAGGTTGTGAAATCAAGCACTGCAAAATTATTTAATGCTTGTATGATCTATGCTAATCTTGTCCTCAATCTGCATTTCTGTTATCATAGTGATTTTAATACATAGACACAAAGGGGCTGAATTACTATTGTGTGAACAATCTCAGTTTTGATATTTCAGAATTCTTGCATGCTTTGGCTTTGCAGTATTAAGAATAATCTTTCAACATAATTGCTGTTCTGCTTACAGTCACAGTTAATACACGTATGCTCAGATATCACCCACGAGCCACATATCCATTGGCAATAGAGATGGAGGAGAGAAAGAGGTGTGGACTCTCTAGATGGATATATTACTAAGTCAGAGTAGTAGCTAGTGCTATCACAAACGCAGCCTTGCTCTGTCCCCATGCTGTCTATGCCCATGATAATTCATTTCTGTTCAGATCACAGAGCAAGGCTGAGTCTATATTAAAAAATCTCTCTTCCTCTGCCCACAACATGTATTTGACTACAAAACCATTTCAACCAAGTGACTTTTTAGCTCCAGAGGACTGTAAATTGCTACAGTGATACACTCCCTAACAAAATATGGGCCAAATCTAAAATACAAGGAATTATTTGAAATTTACAGATCTGAGTATTCTTGCTTTTTACCTGAAACTGATTTGTGATCATTTTCTCCTGTGTTACAAAAAAAGATGTTACAAAAATCATATAGATCATGCTAACATGATAGTTTCATGCAAAACTAGTGTTTCACACAGAATTGCCAGAACATCTGAACAAAACAAGTTGTGAGACAGTTTAAACATTCAAACTCCATGCAGTAACAACTGCTACCTGAATGAGGGGTCAAGCATTTGATTATATTCTAAATGACATATTTCCAGCTAACCCCTCTGTCTCAGCCACAGGCAGCGACTTTTGAAAACAAACTGCATTTTACAAGTCTGGCTTTCTGAAGGCCCCAACAGCAGCTACCCTGCAATCAAAAGCTTACCTCCCAAGCTTTATCATATCATTACTGAGCCAGTGCTGTGAGAGCAGTATGAGATGGCAAAAGCACAAAAAAATGTTTTGCACAGAGTCTGCTCCTGCTGTTCTACAAGACTCATACCACTGTTCACAAAATCTGCTTCTTCGCATTTACTGTAATTTAACCAGCTAAAGCCCATAAACTGGATAGCACAAAAAGCAAAATAAATATCCACAATGCAGTATTGGCTTGAGAGGACTATTAGATCCATCTGCTTTTGCGAGTATAAGAAAGGTGGTTGGGCAGCAGAATGCTTCCCAGTTTGCACTATGAAGAAACAGAGATGATTTTAAGGAGAGTCAGGTAGTACTAAAACGTAGGGCAAGTGATCAGTTACAGACTACTTCTAAAAGGTATGGAAATAATGAAAAACACATACAGTATCTCTGCTAATGCATACTAATTGGAAAATTGAAAAACAGAAAACAGACCACTTCTGAATAAAAATGGTAACAAACACTTAATACGTTAGAATGAGATGGTAAACTTTATGAAGTGGATCTAGTCCAACCAGAACATAAACACCTTCATGCTTCCGTGGGCAACTGAATAAATGAGTCACAGAAACATATTGTCTGGCGTAACTAAACTCAACCTTTGACCAAAACAAGTATGTGCCTTAAACTGATCCTCAAAGGCAAAGAGGCAATTAGCTTTGATGGCCAAAGTGGAGAGTGAATTCTGGAGAGGAAGGTCCTCTACAGAAAAAGCACCTTTGCCAAATTCAGTCTTACGACTCCACAGCTGAAGTATTTTGGTCTTCCATTAACAGGGAGAGCAGGCTAAAAGGTAAGATTCTGTCACCGAGATGACTTGGGTCCAGTCTGGGACTTCCTCAGTAACGAACATCATTTTCAATCACATTATACACTGAAAGAGAAATAAGCTCATAGGCTTGCACTATTGGCTAAACTTTGAGGTTCTTCAGTTTGTGGAGATTTTTGTGAGCATTATCAATGTATGGACAACAACATCAAAAAACGCCCTTTGTCCCAGCTACGGGGAATACCTATAAATAAAAATTGAACATCATATGACCAACAACGGGCCGCTGCAAGAACACTTCCCAAATTTGCAGCTCCTCCTGGCCATAGCAGAACATTGACACAAGGATAAAGTAACCACTGCATTACCTAAGCAATTTGTTAAACGAGGTACCCATTTGACAGTTATCTAGCCTCAAGCAAAAGCATGAGTCAACATTGTGCACAGATGGTTAAATTTAGGTCCTATCTGGCCAGTGGCATTCAGATGAAGGCTCTTATCAGTAGGGATAACACAAGTGGAAATTGTTGCTGAAGAATTAACTTCTAATGAGAAATGTGAAGGAAGCTAAGGGAGGGTGTGTGACTCAACAGAAATAAAAAGCTGTTTCTAGCATGCAGTATGACATGAAAGAACAATAATGTTAAAAGGAGTAAAAGGAATAAAAGAACAAACTTGTAAAACTGCTGTTGAAAGTCAAGGGAAGCAAAGAGAGTGCTTAAGAGGAGACTTTAAAGGAGGGGAAGGTGATGAGGTTAGAAAAGATAAGGAAAGGTGGAGGTAAGACAAAACCTTGAAGATGAGGATGGTGAGACTGGATATGATGCAGACCTGAAGGGATTGTGTGAGAGTGAGTGAGGGATGCTGCTGGTGTTGAGGAGGAGCGAGTAAGGACTCCGCGTCAGGGAAGCAGAGGGTGGCAGATATCACCAGCATGGGCAGAAATAGCCCCAGAGGTGAAAGTGGGCACGTATATTGTCTATTTCTTAAGCAGTAGGGACACAAAGGTGGAGCAAGGGATAGCTTTCTGATAGCATTAGTGCATGTCAATTGGTATATCCTATTTCCTACATGCAAATGCTATTGACCTGTGCCTTCGGTGAGAACAAGGAAGTATGTTAGAATTTGCAGTCATTCACAGCCTTTATCTCACGCTATTTGGACTATCTGTAGTATTTTCCTTAAGCTGGAAGACAAACTATTATTGTCACAGCCACCTAGCACCATCCCACTGTGCTGCCTATTAGTTACCATGCTAGCCAGGATAAACTACTGTAGCAGCATAAGTCATTGAGCAGAAAAGATCTTTTAGCATGTGGAAGACTGAAAGGTAAGCATGAGCAACTACACTGCACAGCCAGTTTGCCTATGCAATAGCCACTGGTGGGTATTTCCTGTACAGGCTGTTGGCAGGATACAACCTAGTATCTTCTGATAAGGTTTTAAGATTTTGTCCTTCCTATACTGGCTTGGAAACATATCTTCACGGTGGGCAATATCTTGACAGTATTATGATTCAAAACGTGCACAGAATCAAATGATAACAATACTATTAATCAATTAGACTTCAGTATCGTGGTATGTGAGAAACAAACCTTTTGCTCTCTCTCCCACAGAGGAGGGAATTGCTGCTCGCGCAGCCCATTTGCTGCAGTGCTCAAGAGGGCTGGATGCAGACCGGCTGT